GTCCGCAGACATTCCGCTGTGCCACTGGAGGCCCCACTAACGATGAATAAGATATGTTTTTGTTTCTTGATGAGCAAAAAGCTACAAAATAGGCTATCTGTGTTGTGCCCACCGAATTTTAGTGTCATAAACCCCCAGACTCACAGCTGAGCTATCTGAGAGGGGGGTATTTATTTATATATATATATTTTAATTATGGTCAAAATTATAAGTTTAGAATAGTTTTAATAACCCATTTAACTCCTCGTTGGGTAAATACTTCATCATAAATAAAACTCGTTCCGATACACATATACTGGTTTTGCCCGACCCGTCATAAAATGCCGAGTTGGAGTTTATTAAGAAACCTGGGGGAGTGTGAGGGGCGCTCTTTCTTCACCTTACTTCCTCCCTTCATCATAAAAGAAAAACAATCACACATTGAGAAAATAAAAATAATTTTCAAGAAAACTCTCAAAACATCAGTAAGAATGATGCAAGTTAAATTAAAAATGACTTAACATGAGCGTTACACACATACACCATTTAATTATGAAGTTGAGATCAGTGGTTGTTTACCTTTTTTGGATGTTTTAGTGAGTAAAAATAAGGATAAATTGGAAACTGCCATTTATAGTAAACATTTCTCTGTGTTCATTCCGCCACATCAACAATCTTGTCACGCTACATCTCAAAAATCCTGTGTTTTTTACTCGTATGTGGACGAATATTAAAATTATGTTGTAAACAGGATGATATCAATAACGAGTTATTGTTAATTAAGCACATAGCAGTGGAGAGAGGTTTTAATCCAGATGTTGTTGACAGAGCTGTCATAAAACTAAAAAACAGGGATAAAAATATTAAGTTAAAACCATTTGCTGAAAAAAGTAAGAAAGAATGTTTAGTACTATCTTATATACCTGGTTTATCTTGTCAAATAACGAAAAAAAAACAAAAACAAATACATATTTTTCCGATATACAAACCGATAAATAAAGTCGGCGAAATTCTTAATGCAACTAAAGATAAAATTGAATTAATGGAAAAATTTCGCATATATAAAATATTATGTGTATGTAAAAAAGTTTATATAGGATAAACTAGAAGAAATTTAAAATTCAGGCTGAATGAACATAAAAGAAATGTTAAAAATAATATTACTATTTCATCTTTAGCAGAACATATTAGTAAAACTAATCACACAATTCAATAGGAAAAAACTGTTATTTTAGCACAACCTGGAAATGTAATTCGTAAGAATATACGTGAATCTATTGAGATAATTGAATGTAAAAAAAGTAAATTCAAATTATTGAATAAGGATGATAGACCTAATGGAAATGTTGTCAGCAGATGGCGTGAAATTCTTTAATATGTAAATTGGTGTTTTGATAACTGTATAAATAGGTGTTATTTTTGCAAAACATTACACTCCTGAGGATGACGCAAGACATACGTCGAAACATGTAGAGTGTATGAGATTGTTTTCCAGTCACGTCGGGGATTTTACCACTTTTTAACCTTGTACAATAAGTTATTATTTTAATAATTTGTAGGCTGGAAACAATCTCATTTTATTGAATTGTACATAAAATAATCGTTGTTTTCAAATATTTTTTTTTTTAGTTTTCAAAATTGAACATTACACATGTGCCAAAAAAATATTTTGAGAAAAAAATCATTATATATGTTGAAGTTTCCCACGCTTTGTCGTTTTTTGGGGAAATTTTGCGCAAATCTACTCGAGGGCTATCTGCGCTGAGCCGTTCCTAGTTTAGAAATGACAGACTGGAAAGAAGATTGTTAGTCAACACCACCTAGATAATATCCACAATTCTACATAATCGATCTGTTGGCGATATTTTAACTTCTGGTTATTATTTAGGTATTATTATATTATAATTAAGCTATCTGGTGTTGTTAGAAGTTTTGGACAAAGGTTTAGAGTTTACGATCGACCCCATACAAACTCGTGCAAATGTTAGCTCATTTTGGCCTATCCAGGTCCGTGCTGTGAAAGCTGTGGAGAAGATATTACGCAAATAGTCTGTAAATTAGGCACGACACGTAATGAAGGTTAGCCATACAACATGACCATTATAAATCGCCGGTTCATTGCCCATGGGCTCAATGTTATTATCAGTAACTAAGTAGAAAAACAAACTTCCCGAGCCCGGCTTAAGGTACAGAAGACCCCCTTCAGTCCAACAGTTGAGTATATAATTTATTTTTATTTCGCCGATATAACCCAAAACTGGCAGCAAATCCATCAGGCACCTGTAACCTTCACAGATAAATCAATACAAAGTTTCGTGTCTCTGGCAAAATCAACGGTTTCGTTTGTGTCTACAGAGATAGAGATGAATGATATGTTCAATACAACGTTGTTAAATATTACTGTTTTAGTAGCGCTTCAGATAAAACGTGGACTGTCATCGGTGCGAATAACCAGACAGGGTTTACTATACTTGAAACATGGGATCGAACCCAGTTATACGGTCCATTTTTGTCAGTGCGACCACGTCACGTATAACGTAAAGTTGAATTGTGCTATTTACCATTTTGTTTATTGTCAGTATCAATTCATAATAAGCAAGACGTGTCAACCCCGTTACAGAATGTTTTATCTTCATTTGAAATAATTTGAAACAAACATCTCCGTGGATGGTTGTTTGTTTATGGCAAAGTTATAAAGAATCTCTGCCGTCATCCCCAGGTTTGAACTGCAGAACACAGGGAAAGTAACCGGCCTGCATCACTCACCGACTACGCTTTAACAACGAATGGTAGGATTAACCGTCACACCATAAATCTCCATAAGTCTGAAAGAGCGAAAAAAAGTTCGGCGCTGGGTTTCGATCCCACGAGCTGCAGAATGCGAATCGAACGTCTTAACCACCAGGCCCACCACGGATGCCCAATGTCCATAAATATATAATATATAGGTAGCTGGACCATACGCTGCTATGATAAATAAAGTTTCTTTTTTCCTTCATCCACAGATAATGTTGCACAACTGGAGTCTAGTTACTTTAATTCTCATACATAAAGAAACAAACAAAAGTACCCGTCCCCAGTGACGGGAAAAGTTTAATTTCATGGACTTTAAAATGTTGTTGCACTCTTGGTTTCACTTAGATCCAAATTAATTTTACAAAAGACGGCGACTATTCAGACAATACACGTGATCTATACATACGTGTAAAAAAAATAACAAAAAATGTGTGTATATCGATGTTTCTGAGCTACAAAATAACCGGTCTGTTGTTTGCAGAATTTAAAGCACGGACAGAAACTAAAATGCTCGTATCGTTTCTTTCATCTATATATACTACTCGTAGACAAAAATTTACTAAAACCAAATCAGGTTTTTCTGATACTTACAAAGTTTTCACGAGGCTTCTTTCGCGACAGTTTCTACTCGTTACCACTCGGGTTGGTTTTGAATTATTGAGAAATAAAGCGTTCCGGCACCATTTTTATGCCATATATATTGAACATTTGTGAAAGTTTTAGTGTTTTTACCTCCGCTACCGAAGGTGACGAAAGTTATGTTTTCACTCGTCTGTGTGTGTGTGTGTGTGTGTGTTACAAGATTTCTCGAAAACGGCTAAATAGATTTGGACGAATGTTGGTATACATCTGGACAATCACCTATTTTAGAAGTGTGTAATTTTTGGAGGGTCAAGGTCACAGCAACGTCACGAAAATCCAAAAACCACATCTGTTA